AAAAAGCTGGGCATTGTGGCAGGCTCCTGTAGTCCCCACTACTTGGGAGGCTGAGGCAGGAGAATTGCTTAAGCCCAAGAGTTTGAGGTTGCTGTGAGCTGTGACACCATGGTATTCTACCAAGGGCAACAAAATGAGACTGTCTCAAAAAAAACAGTGTCAACAAAAACATATATATGTATGCATGTATGTGGGTATGTATGTGGTGCCTACGACAAGTAAACAGCAAATAGAGTGGGCAGTGGGTAGTCACACTGCTGTGTATTGGGGTTTGTGTGTCTTCATGGAGCTTCAGTTTTACTCAAAGCTATTGGGGGAGGGTGGTAATTTTTATTCTAAAGTAGACACATCATGGGGTAGAGCATGAGCTTTGGGGATAAAGTGTAAAACTTTAAGAAAGTTTTGCATCTTGTGGAAGATACAAAATGGTGTTGGAGCTTTGGGCTTCACTCTCAGACCTTTGTGTGTAAAATATTCACTTTTCTCTGCTTTAGTGGAGATAAAATTATTCCTTACTTTAAGCCATATTCCAAAATAAAGAGCTAAATATAAGAAACTAAACTTGTGGCTGAGTGTGGTGGCTCACACCTGTAATCCAGCAGTCTGGGACGGCAAGGCAGGAGGATTGCTTGAACTCCCGTCTAGCAGGACATTAAAGACAGACATAAAACTCTTTAATTGAAATTGTGATGAAGATCAGGATGCCAGAGTAGAGGGAACCATGCTGGTGGACATAACTAGGGGATTTCTCCTTGTCAATAGGACCTCTGTGATGGCTTCTCAGAGAATGGAGGAGAAATGGGTATTGCCTAGGGAAGTGCTCAAGGAGAGAACTGAGTTCCAGGAAGAGAGAACACATGGGGAGCTATTGGGAGGCTGAGACAAGAGAATCGCCTAAGCCCAAGAGCTGGAGGTTGCTGTGAGCTGTAACGCCACGCACTCTACCAAGGGTGATAAAGTGAGACTCTGTCTTTAAAAAAAAAAAATTTAATAAGGGATTAATAGTTCTTACTTCAAATTATTTTGAGGAGTAAATGCGATAATCCATGGAACATGCATAGCGTAGTGCTTAGCATGTAAACTCTGCTCCATAAGTTTTGGCTGTTGCTCTTATATTTATGGAGAACACAGCTTTGGCCCTGGTGGGAATTGCCTGGAAAGAAATCAGGAAGTCAGAAGAGAAGGCTGGAGAAACACTAGCAAATCTGTGAAAGAGGAAATTCAGAAGGAATAACAAAATGTTTTTTTATTTCAAAAACCTGAGCCTGTAAATAATAATTGTCTTCCACAAACTGTAGCAATAGTTCTTCCATTAATAAAATATAACAAAATGATATATTCAATTAAAA